CCGCCTGGCGCTGGTCCTGCCGCAGCGGCAGCGGTATCGCGAGAGTACAGCGTCGCCGCTGGCCGGCTATGGGGGCAGCGCAGAGATCTCGCGAGAGCAGCCGCAGCTGCCGCTGTCCAGGGTCCTGCTGCCGCCGTCGGGAGGGGCGGGGCTGACAAAGGGGCGGGGCCATATGGGGTCGGGGTCTATGGGGTGCCTATGGGGCTGGGGTGTAGCAATCCCTACCTGGGGCACAGCAGAGCCTCTATGGAGCACGGGTTCGGTGACCTCCACAAGGGCAGCGGTCCTGCTTGAGTGTGTGCTGGGCTGCACCCCCAGAGTGTGAGCAGCAGCTCAGGGAGGGGATCCTGCCCCTCTGCTGTGCTCTGGGGAGACCCCCCTGCAGCCCTGATCCAGCTCTGGGGCAGCAGCGCAAGAGGGACGTGGAGCTGTTGGAGAGAGGCCAGAGGAGGCCATGGAGATGCTGCGAGGGCTGGAGCAGCTCTGCTCTGGAGCCAGGCTGAGAGAGCTGGGCTGGGGCAGCCTGGACAAGAGAAGGCTCCTGAAGGGGAGACCTCAGAGCAGCTCCAGTGCCTGAAGGGGCTGCAGGAAACCTGGAGAGGGGCTTGGGACAAGGGATGTAGGGACAGGCCAAGGGGTGATGGGCTTAAACTTAAACAGGGGAGATTCAGGCTGGATAGAAGGGAGACATTCTTTGCTGTGAGAGTGGTGATGCACTGGCACAGGTTGCCCAATCCTATAACCAAGCACAAGGGAACTGCAGCAGCAAGGCGAAGCACCCACATGTTGCTCAGGTATGTGCACAGGGAAGTAGGTATCCTAATGGGAAAACACTCTAAGAAAAGCTAGGCACTTTTCCCGAGAGCAGGGAAAAGGATTTCACTGTCCCAGGCAGGTCAGAAGCCACCATCCCCATCACCCTGTGTTCCCTCCTGGTCTGCCTCCCACCAGGAGCTGCTCCACATGGTCATTAATTAGAATCATAAAGTGGTCTGGGTTGGGAAGGATCTTAAAATCTAGTTCTAACTCCCTAATTAATGGCTTGCACGACAGGCAGAGGAGATGCTGATTTCTTTTGCCATTGATGCTAAGGTTGGGATGAAGAGGAAGGGACTGACTGACCCACACATGGGTTGGGGAGGGAGAAAACACCCCTAAAGGGGCCATAAATCCCAAATCAGCCTGAGAACTCCAAGCAACACGAGGAGGATTCCATGTCCCTTGTCCTCAGTGTCACTGCTAGGAGCCCTGCAGGGACCCCTCAGACCTCCTGTGCCGGTGCTTGGGACCGTGTCGGTGCACTGTCATGAAACTGGTTTCATTTGACAACTAAATCCTCCTCCCTTCCCAAGATCCAGTTTTGAGCAACAGCACAGAGATCAGCGAGGATAGCATCCCACCATGTGAAGGTGGGAAGCGCAGGAAAGCAGCTCCATCTCCTCATACCAGCGAGTCCTGGTCACCAAACCCCTTTGGCAGAGGACTGGCGTTGCTCCATAGGGATGTAATGAAGGAAACCTGGCAGAAACAGGGAAAACGCCTGTTTCACAGATGGCAGAATAGAGGGAAACGGGGAAATCAGCATGCCACAATGGCCCCATACCTGAGGGCCCAGCTGCTCAACTCCAAACACCTTCTGGGTCCTCGGCCCCATGCACCCAGCTCCGTGCACGGCAGCAGGAGGAACACGAGCAGCAGCAGGAGGAGGTTGGTTGTGGCTCCCCATTGTCACCAAGCGCCACTGCTCAGCCACGTGTGAGACCTCACGGGGGTGCTCTGGGACTTGAAGAGCTGCGCTGGCCCTGCCTGCAGGCACCCAGCACCCTGGGCACCCAGTGCTGGCACTAACCCCAGCCTTGCTCCTTGCTCAGTGCCAGCTATGGGGTGCCTCCTTCACAGCCAGGACAACAGAACTGCTTTATGCTCCTTATTCCTTGACTCTCGAGCTTTCTCCCAACTGGATTTGCTCCCTACAAGCCTCAGGTCCACCTTCCCCACTCATTCGTTTGGGGATGGCCAGTGACAGAGCTCTTCTTGCCCACATCTCCATCTGCCCACAGGCTTTACAGGAAGAGCTGTGTCCTCCCTTGGGTCCTGGGGGATATCTGGAGAACCAAGGGGACATCCCAGTGCCTACCTCACACTACCTGAGCAGCTGCTCAGGTTCAACTGAGAGCCCAAGTCAGCCAGAATCCAGGCAGGTTCAAAGCCAAGCCATGAGATCAATCTGCAGGTGAGGTCTACAGAGCCCAACCCAGACACAAAGATTACTGCATCTCACTTAGAGACCAGCTGTAACATAGCTCAGACCAGAACTAAAGCCCCTGGGCTGAGCTTAAATAGTGTTCCTGGGCCAGGGGCAGGATGGGAAGGGTGTTCCAGGTGTGGCTGTTCAGGACCATTAGGGTCTATTAAAGCCCTTACAGCGTTATCCTGCCTATTGGGGTATAGCTTTGCAAAGGGATTTATCCTATGAAAGGTTGGTTTTCTCCTTTTTAAACTGTCTACTTACCCAGAATGAGGATTATCTTGAGCTCTACTGCTTTTCCCTTTAGGAATAAGGGAGGATATTCCACTGCCTTAACTTGCAAGGAGCTAAAGCCACCCGAAGGTGCTCCTGGCATCCCAAAGCAGTCCCTGCCCCCTGGGGTCACATCCTCAGGGTTCTAGTGCTGGGGAGCAGTAGGTCCCAGCCCCTGGTTCAGATAGAGCACCCCAGGGCTGCATCAGCTCAGGCGCCAGCCTGCCGCTGGATGCAATGTGATGAGCAGCAGAGACCTGAGCCGGGCCGATGTGACGCAGAGATGGCCGGCGGCACCCAGACTTTCCTTGTATCGGATGCTCCCACTTTCCGACCCGCTCCCATGCAGGCAGCCTCGGGTGAAAGAAAATATAGAGAGGGCAGGTGAAGGACAAGGGCTTGGGTTACTGCTCCTCTCCAGCTGCCCTGCTAGCCATTAGGAACACTTTTCTGGGTGCTTTTCCCCCCTTGCACAGGCTTGGTTGGGGCTGGTGTCAGCTCTGGCTCCATGCAGCCCTCTCTATCCCATCCCTGTCAGCCTCCATCTCTGGCTCCTCTGCTAGATGGCCCTTCCAAGCTCACATCTCTTGTGGCAAGAGGGTCCTGCAGGGAAGGGGACTCTCAGCCCTATAGGATGCTCAGAGAGACACTCAATGGGAAAAGGGAGGAAGAAACCAGTCCCTGGCTCCCGCTGTGACCAGCGCGGATGCTCAGGGAGGACAGACAGGGTGTAATTGCTTTATTCCCATCTTTCCTTCATTCCTCTTTACCATTTGCCTCATCTCCATTTTAAATTACTCTGCACCCTGTTTCCCAGTGTTTCTTTCCTGGTTCTCCCCATGGCTGGAGCTGTCTGTGCCTTTATCCCCCCTGTCCCTGCTCTCCCCCCTTTCCCACCCCGCTGTTTGCTGCTGCTGAGCTCATTTCAGCTATTCCTTTGCTTGGAACAGCCCATCCACTCTGTTGTCCTCCACCAAACAAGCTGACAGGCTAATGAATGGCTTCAGATGGTAATTAGCAATGGAGTTGCTAATAATGAATTGCATTTACATGTTAGGCGCTGCAGAGGAAAAGCAAGACCCTGCCATCAGTGCCCCTCTGGGGGCTGCAGAAAGCCTTTGCTGTGATTTCACCTCCTCCGCCTCCATTTCCAAGGCTCCACTGAGCAGAGTTTGTGAAGCAGCAATTAGATGCAAGGGGGGAAGGTGCCCAACACCATGGAAAATGGGGCACGGGAGGCAGGAGCTGGGCCTGGGCCAGGAAAGAAGGGCTGGTTTCATCCAGCACTGGGATCTATCCAGGTCGCCTGGTGCTCTTGGTGGCCACAACCCCCTCCTGTGCAAATCCTGCCGGATTTCTCAGCTCCCTGACTTCACACACGCTCTGTGGATGTTGCTGAAATCTTCCTTGGTTGTTTTCCCTGCATCTTTTGAAGGCAGCAATTTTCCCAGTATGCTTAATCCATTCCTGCCTGCCCAAGGAAGGAGCCAAGTGCCTGCTGCAGCGATGCCATAAAGAGCCATGAAGCGGAAAAGGGGAGAAGTGATGTTGTTTTGTCTGCTAGGAGAAAGGGATTCGTGGTGGAAGCACAGCAACTAAGCATGCATCAGGGGGGACGACGACTTGGGGGATGCTCCAAGCTGGAATCTGGTGCTGGGGTGTCCTGCCTCAGTTTCCCCCTCTGTGTTAGCTGGGTCAGGAAGAGATGCTTGGGTTTTCCTCAAGCATCCCATCCCAGGTGGATGACACACCAGTGCTGTCCCCCATTGCCCACTGGACCCCCATGTAGGGCACCAGTACCCCAGAAAGATGCTTTGGGGACTACAGGGATGGCTGCATCCTGCCCTGCCACAGCCCTCGCTGCACTGCCATGGATAGATTGATTTATTTATGTATTTTTCAAGCCCTGCTCAGAGTGAAAACAATCCAGAGGCTGGTAAGATTTGACTGCAAGGCAATACTCAGTGTGTCTTTCCACTGTGCAATGATCCCCCGGGCCATGGGGCATGCAGGGGACAGGCCGGTGACAGGGGCAGGCAGAGGGGAGCCGGGGCAGGGGCAGCCTCTCTGCCTGGGGAAGGGATTGGGAGCAGAAAGGGGAGATCTCCTGGCCTGTGATGGATACCTCTGGGACGTAACCAGTCAATGTGATGCTGACTCCTAGCTGGGGACATGGAGGTGAGAAGGGACAGGGGAAGGAGGAGGGAGAGAAATGCCATCCACCAGGATTTCTCCCAATAGCTTCTCTGATGGCTAATAAGGGTTGAGCTCAGGCTCCAAAGTACTTCCCGAAGTACCTGCTGCATTTCCGTGCCATCCCTGGGCACAGTGTGGCCGGGACTTCCCATACCTCTCGGAATGCTGCCGGAGAGAGGGCAGGCAGACAGGCCGGCTGCCCGCAGCGTGCTGACACTTGCAGTTAGTTAGCAGCCAGCCCGTCCTTGAGAGGAAGCGTGGAGAGAAGGGACCAGGTTCTCTTTAAGGGGGCAGGACTCCGGGAGCATCATGAAAGCAAAGACTGAGCTTCTCCCTCTGCCCTTCCTCCTTCCCTGCCTGCTGTTTCCCTGCCTGCATGCTCCCGGGGAGGAACTGGGCTCCCCTTCGCCTTCCCGGGCTCTCGGTGCAGGACAGGGATGAAGGCAGGAGCTGGGTGCTGGGATGGGAGGCTGAGCGAGGGGAGGAGGAGGCAGAGGAGGGGAGGGCTAGGGGGAGGATCTGCTAATTACACAGAACAGCTCTGGGGGCTCTGCTGAAGTCCAGAATGAAGCAAAGAGCAGCAGAAGCAAGTGCTGCAGTGGGAGCGGAGCAGCGTCACCAAGAGCCGGGGCTGGCTGGGAGCAAACGGGGGCACCCCGGGAACCCTGCAGCCCCGTATCCCCAGGGAACAGCCTCCAGCACAGCCACCAGCTCCTCGGCAGCCAGCCCCGGGCCAGAAGAGGGGAAGGGGCTGGTGGTCCCGGGGGTGCAGGGTTAAACTCAGCCCTGCTGCAGGCTAGGCTGGAGGGCAGCGGAGCCCTGCCATGGTCCCGGGGGGCTAGGAACCTGAGCGGATCCACCGGGAAGGGGTAACGGATGGCTGCTGAAGGAGGGAGAGCCAAGCCCGGCACCCAGTCCAGGATGGAGAACTTCCGAAAGGTGAGGACGTCGGAGGAGGAGAGCCCATTGCCCTTCCCCGACCTGCCACCGGACGTGGTGGAGATGAAAGTGAAGGAGGGCAGCAAGATCAGGAACCTGATGAACTTCGCCATGGCCCAGATGGAGCTGAAGGGCAGGCGGCAGATTGTCTTCAGCGGCTGCGGCAGGGCCGTCACCAAGACCATCACCTGCGTGGAGATCATGAAGCGGAAGCTGGGAGGGCTGCACCAGGTCACCAAGGTGCGCTACAAAACCCTGCTGGAAGTCTGGGAGAACCAGGACCCACTGCCCAGCGGCGGGGCACAGAACCTGACTGTCCACAAGAACGTCCCCTCCATCAGCATCCTGCTCTCCCGGGACCCCCTGGATCCCAACCAGACCGGCTACCAGCCCCCGGAGCCCCGGCACGGGCTGGAGCCACAGCTCGGCCAGGAGGGAGAAGACACGTCCAGCTCCTCCAGCAAGGGGGTGAAGCGGCCCCTGCCACCTCCCTGCGAGGAGCTGCTCACCAAGAAGCTGCAGGTACAGATACCCGATGGCCCGAGGGGCTCGGGGAGCACCGACCGCCCAGCAGACCATCACCACTGAGCGCCACCTCCTGCCCCGACCAGCCCCACGCTGGGCAGAGGTTGCGCTGGAGGAGTTTTAGCTGCTTTGTGGTGGACAAAGGCAGTGTGAAGCCTTGCTTTGGGGACATTAGTGTGCTGCAGGCTCCCCCCAAGGTGTCCCCACATCTGGGGTGAGGGTTAAAGGGTTAAATGCACTCGCTTTCTGTTATGGACTGAGGGTGTATTGGTGACCCCATAGGGATAATGCTACCCACCTCCAGCCACGTTCCTGCAGTGACTCCCATGGGTGCCCTGGCTGGGGAAGGCGGCTGCACATCTTCGCTCCCCGTTGCTATGTCTCAGCTATCAGGAAGATGCTTTGGTCCCAGGCTCGCTGGAGTAACACCTTCATCATCAAAACTGCCGCAATTACACCCGCTGAGGAGCTGTCAGGGTTATTGATGCTGGACTCGGCACCCTGCGGTGCCGCGATTTATCCTGAATGAAGCACACAGACGAAGAGTCGGGACAGCACAGGAAAACAAACCAGCCCTCCTCCTCCTGCCTCTTCTTCACACATTGGATGTTCAGGTCTTTGCTTTCCCAGAGGTGTCCATAGGGTCTGGAGCTGGGGTGAAGCACCCATCGGGAGCTGCAGGCAATGGGAGCGTTCAGTGGGTGCTTGTGGCTGGATGCAGTGGCCAGGACTGGGAGGTGCTGGGGCTGTGGGAAAGCCTTTTGGAGCAACGTTCCTGCTGCTTCCAGGGGTAAAGGGAGGCGTATGGAAAATAAAAGCTTTTTGGAAATAGCTGGAATATGTCTATGGGAAAACATAGGGGATCACCTTGGCTGCCGGCCACGGCACGGATCAGCACAAGCGAGGGCTGCTGCCGATCCAGGACAAGAGGATCCCAGCTGAGCCATGGTGGAATGGGATAGGGGCCTCCTGTGTGCTCCGGGAGCAGGCTGGCGCTGCGGGGAGGGCAGGGATGGGATGGGGTGAATTACATTGGCATTACGAGCACATCCTTCGGAAACGCCAGCCGGGAGCGATGCTGCTGAGCATCCCCTTTTGTCCAGGGCTTGCTTGGCTGGGAACGGGAATGAAAGGAGATGAGGGGAGTGAGGAGGAGAAGGAAGCAGGGGTCTGTTTTGTTTGGCAATGACCTTGTTATCTCCCTCCGCAGGCTCCCGCTTATCTCCCCTGCTGCAGAGCGATTCCCTTCACCTCTCTGCCGCTGGGCTGCTGAATGTCGATTTCTATTGTAATTCGTTATAATGGGTTTCGGTGGGGTCGGGGCTGCTTCGGACTCCCAGCTCCTCTCCTTGGCGCAGACACCGTTCAGGTTCAGCGCTCTGCCCCGCACGCGAGCTGCAGCACCCGGGCACAGGCTCCTATCCCGAATGTACTGAACAACCGGGATGATGAATAACACCACCGGGAAAGGGAGCCTAAACCCTGCGGGACCCCCTCACCTCCCCAGCCCTGCCCCGCTGCGGCTCGCACTGCCCCCAGCCAGGGCAGGGAACAGCAGCGCTCACTCGCTCCTCTCCGTTATTTGTTAACGCTTGGACTTGGCTCAGATGGATTTTACACGCAGGCAGTTCCAGCCTCGGAGGGGATCCTGTCCTCTCCGGACCGAGGCGTTTCCTGCATGAGCGGTTAACAGGGCTCGTAACCCGAAAGGAGCAGCATTCAAACAGCGCGGTGCCAGCTGGCGCCACGGCTCCCGAGGGGGCACGGCGAGGATCTGCGCCGCAGAGCCAGGCTCAGCCCCACGAGCCTCATGAACCGCCTCTGGGGCGATGCTGAGCGCAGCAGTGACGGGAACACGGGGCAACAGAGACTGAAGGCGGTCAGGGGCTAGGTTTGGGGACAACGAGGTGACAGGACAACCCCTGGGGAGCGGACGGGGCCACCCAGAGCCGCGCTGCGCCCCATCTTCCCCTCACAGCGAGCCGATCCCCGCTGTGAGGGCTGGCAGCACGGCGACCACGGCACCTCGCCCTGCCCTGTGGCCACCACCGTCACGGGCCGGGTGAACGGGGCCGGTGTCACCACACAAACAGCCCCGAGCACCGCCCGCTGCCGATGGGGGCACAAACCCGCTCCTCTCCCCTCCCGGCCCGTCCCCACACGCCACAAAATGGCGGCAGGCACCGCCCTCAGCCCCGCCCCTGCGGCTTCCCGCCGTCACGCGTGCGGCGCGGCGTGTCCCCGCCGAGCCACCATAGCCGCCGCCTCCGTCCTGCCCGCCCGCCGTCCCTCCCTCCCCGCCCGCGGTCCGGTGCCCGGTGCAGGAGCGAGCGGCGCCCGGTGCTGCCTCCCCGCCGCCATGCAGGCTGCCGCCGCGCTCCTCCGCCGCTGCGCCGTCTCCGGCCTCCGCGCTGCCGTCCGCAGGCCCGTCGGCCCCGCAGGTGAGCGGCCGCCCGCTTGCTTCACACCTTCCCCCCTCAGCACCCCGCCCGCCCAGCGGCCCCGGCCCCGCACCCCGCCGCGGTTCCCCTCCCGGTCCCCGGGTGGCGCCGTGTCCTTGCGGTGACCCGCCGCTGTCACCCGAGGGCAGGCCGCGCCTGCGGCCTAGTGCTCGCCGCGCCGCCGGGCCCGGCGCTGCCCCGCTGCCGCCGGCCCCGGTAACCACCCTCCCCGTCGGTACCGGCCTCACCGCCAAGGGGCGGGCGCCGGGCCCCGGCCCGGGAGCTGTAGCGAGGGCGGCGGCGCTTTCCCGGGCCTCTCCTGAAGGTGACATTGACGGAGGTCGGCGGTGACCTCCGCATCCGGGGCCGGCACCGAGCTCCTCACGGCCCCCGGGACCGGCGCTGGGCCGGGCCTGCCGCGGCTTCCTCCCGCTGCCCTCATCAGCACCCCGATTAATCGGAAGGGGAGGAAGAGAAACAGCGCGGCCTCGGTGCTGATGGGGAAAGCAGAGCTGAACACCCGGCCTGCGGGGAGACGGTGCCCGTGCCCCGCAATTAACAGCTGATTAACGGGCACGGAGCGCGGTTAAAGCGCTCGGGGTGTGTGGGAGTTAAGCACTTGCCGCAGGGGCCGTATTGCTGCCTGCCTTTAAAGTGCAAAGGGTTAAGCGGCGATTGTGGTGTTCGTGTGCTGGGGTTTCTTTGACACGTCTTTAAACCCCTGTTTTAATTCAAACCCCATTAAATCCCCGTGCCCGCCGCACCTCTGGGCTCCTGCAGGACCCTGGCTGCTCGTGCCCTACCTTCTCTGCGCCTTTGCTAACACGGAGCAGGGTCCGAGCTCTTCTTTCCCAAGGTCTTGTATTACAAAGGCCTCACTTGACACGGCTGCCTTTTCCCAGGGAATTAATGTAAACGAATGCTCCTCTGGATGAGTGCTTTAATTCCGTGCTCATTGCCAGGGAAAGCGGCTGAATTCTGGTGCTGGGGGAAGCTTTAAAGTGTGGTGTCAGGCGATTTTAGCACCAGAGTGCTCTCAAAACCAGTGGAGTTCTCTTGCAAGCACACCTCTGGAGACACAGCTTGCCCTTGGCTTCCTCCCCGAGCTGGGAATCTCCGTGTGGATGGGTTGGCATGGTGTGACTTCCACCTGTGTGTGACCGTGACCTTGAGGGACCCCAGGGAAGTGCCAGGCTCCAGCTGGCTCCTGCCTCAGCTTTGCCAGGGTGGATCGCAGGGTCCGGCCTCCCGGATGTAGATGTGAGTGTTAGCATGGGAGATAAACCAGGGAAAGGTTGGAAAACACATGCTGGCAATCCATAATCCATGTTCTTGTAGCCTGTTGCATTTTCCTTCAGTGCCCTTTTAGCCTAACCGAGTTGTTCCTTAGTTTAAGACTAAAGGGAATGGTTTTGTTGAGCTCCATGGAAGGAGACTTTAGGGGTTTGACTTCAAGATGGCATTTGGGAACGTGGCTCTGCGCTCTTCTCAAACTAGATGTGCTATTTCCCTGCAGGCTTTGCTTTTGTGATTAGGAAAGAAAGTGTTTCCCCTCAAACAGCACTTGAGCATGTACATAGAATCATAGAATAGTTAGGGTTGGAAAGGACCTTAAGATCATCCAGTTCCAACCCCCTGCCATGGGCAGGGACACCTCACACTAAACCATCTCACCCAAGGCTTCATTGAACCTGGCCTTGAACACTGCCAGGGATGGAAGCATTCACAACCTCCCTGGGCAACCCATTCCAGTGCCTCACCACCCTAACAGGAAAGAATTTCCTCCTTATATCCAATCTAAACTTCCCCTGTTTAAGTTTTAACCCATTACCCCTTGTCCTATCACTACAGTCCCTAATGAAGAGTCCCTCCACAGTATCCCTATGGGCCCCCTTCAGATACTGGAAGGCTGCTATGAGGTCTCCACGCAGCCTTCTCTTCTCTCTTGCTCTGAGCTCTGCTGGGCATGTGCTTTATTGGAGAAAGCAGGGTCAAGGAGCTGCTTTGGAGCTGGGCAGAGATGGGGAATCTCCTCCTGGAACACAAAAAGTGCGTTACAATTCTGGCTTGGCCTGAATTTGCCTTTTCCCTTACCTAGTGATGGAGAGAAACGAGATGCAGGGTGGTTTATCTTCCCATTTCCCTGGCTTAGGAAGCACTGCAGAAACCAGAACCACAGCTGACACATTGAACCTCATGGAAATCTGGGTTGTGCGCTGGCTGGGCCATCACTTCAGGAGACTAAAGATACTCCTTGAGGTTCCTTCCATTGTACTTTACCTAGAACCAGGCTGCTGGTTCGCAGTGTGGCTGTTCCCTGCACTCCTCAAAGCAGAACAGTGTATCTGGGAAGGCTGCAAACCAGCAGCTCGGTTTAGGGGCTTCTTGCTGTGAATACAGCTTTGTAGCTAGGCAGCATGAGGGGCTCGGGCAAGGATGAGAAAGGAGGAGTGCCCGCTCAGCTCTGCCTTCCTCTGAAGCAGAGCTCCACGCTGGCAAGGTCATATCTAGTGTGTGACCTCTCTGCAAACATTGGTGGGGTGGAATTACCAGGAGGGAAGGAAGCGTCTCCAGCCAGGAGCTTGCAGGGAATGACTGTGCTGCAGGTGGAGCTGCCTGTGCCCCGCGTTTAGTTCCAACCTCTGCGGGTT